GTCAAGAAGTAACAGTCTCATAATCAGAACATCGTAGTCCTCATCTATGTTACTGAAGCGCTATCGTCTATGGACTGAAGCTATGTTATGTTACACGAGATATAAAACATACTTCAAGGCCTTTCATTCATGATAAAGTGTACAGTTACATAGGTATTTGATTGCCGCTAGGGCACCTAAATACAACAATCTCCCACTTGCCCTAAGGCCAATCAAGCATTTCTCGAATGCCCATGGACCACGTATGACTCTCGTGTTTAGGCTTTCCCAAAGCCTTCGTCAACGGATCCGCGATATTGTCGTCTGTACCTATCTTGCAAATCTCAACGTCCCCACGTGCAACGATTTCTCGTATGATGTGATAACGTCTAACGATGTGTTTGGTCTTCTGGTGAGACCGAGGTTCTTTCGCTTGTGCAATTGCCCCATTATATATATATATATATATATATATATATATATATATATATATATATATTCTTCCTGGATAAAAAAAATGATGAAAAAAATTATTCGAGATGAAAAAGGAGATTAAAAAAATTGAATTATATAATTAAAAGTTTAAATAAAAACACCACAGGGATTATATGTGTGTGTGTGTGTGTGCGCGCGTGCGCGTGCGTGTATATATGTATATATATATATATAAAGATCTAATAAATACATATCTAAAGATCTAAAGAATATATAGATCCCGTAATGTAAATCGGAAGATATATTTATGCGATGAACACAAAATAATAAATCACACGAAACCAAACTGGATTTGTTTAAGTGAAAATAAGATTAAATCAAAATTGTGCCCAAATCGTGCAAAAATTTGATGTTGAACAAAACAAAGTTGGAAATGAAACCATACATGTATGCACCGCCGTAAACAATCGGTTGGTGGGAGAAATGTTAGAGACAGATCCGAAAATGGTAGGAGAGTGGCGACACGGAGATGAACGGAGATGAGCAGTAGAGAGATGGTGGGGGAGCGGCGGAAGAAAAGAGAGGCGTGTAGGAGTATTAGGGTTAGGAAATAAGGCTTTATATATCAATTCACTCCTGGGCCATTTAAAATAATTGGGCCGGACGAATTTTGGGCTACTAATGCTGGTGGGTTGTCTCTTATATTTAATGTATTTTATATATTATATACTCATTCCGTTGTGCGTTACAAGATTTGACTAAACTTATTTTCAAATCATTTTATATGAAAGTTGGTGTAAAATTTAAAATAAAAATTACTTATTAAAAAACTATATCAAAAGATTTACAAAAGTAACAAAACTAGAGGTGACATAATTATATTATTTTATCAAATGGGTGACGAAAATATGACAATAAATTGAATAAAGTTTGACCCTATAATATTAAAAGGGAAATTTATTTGTGGATGGAAGGAGTATTAAATTTCAATTATTATAAAAAAAAATAATCATGCATTAATTAGATAAACAAATATTTTTGTTTAAAAAAAAGATAAACAAATATTTTGACAGATTTGATAAATTATGAGAAAGAAGGAATTCATAAAAAGATAAAGAGAGAAAGATCCATAGAAATGAAGTTCGAAACAAGAATCTTACATCCATAAACGAAGATCCATTGAACGGCGGCATAGAGAGAGACAGGAAGGGAGCGAGACAGGCGACGACGGAAAAGGAGCGACCGAGAGAGAGATTCGGGTTTTCGTTTTGGTAGGGAAGCTAGGGTAGAAAATTAAATATAATTAGGTTTTATTAGTGGGCTAGGTTGAAGGGTTGTAGTGGGCTGGGTTTATAAAATTGGACTGGTAGATTAGTTAAAAAAAAGTTTTTTGGAAGGGACTTAAGTGGGTTGATGGGTTTGAGTATATTCAATTCCGACCCAATTTAGCTCGGGTATGGATTTAATTTTGTCGGGTCAATTTCACATATTTAATTTTTCAATTCAGATTAAATTAAAGATTTAATCGGGTTGGTTGCTGTCAAATAGGGCCATTTTTTGTTATTTTATTTAACATGTCTAAAAATTTATTTTAATAAATTTCTATTAAAAATAATATATTATTTTTAATATATTTTTATACATGTTGTTTTGATGAACTTTTGAAATGTTAACTATTTGTATGTCTATTTTGATTATGACAAATGTTAGTTTTTTGTTATGAAATTTCAAATTTAAAACGATAAATATTAGCAATGTATCATTCTCTACGTTTACAAGAAATGGACAACGTATTTCTTTTTATTGTTAATTTTTTAAGTAAAACATCATATCTTCCGTGTTTGTATGCATATAATGATTATAATGAATATTAGTTTTTTTTTATGAAATTCTAAATTTAGAAGGATAAATATTAGCAATGTATCTTTCTCTACGAATGTAGTTTATAAAGAAGTGTTCCAAAACTTTTAATAATTCATATCGACTTTGCTCATTACTGTATAGAATTTTCTTTTTGGGGAATAATATTAAATTATGTAATCTTTCCGATTTTGTAACATTTTCCATTATTCCAAACATTGACTAAATATATGTAAATTAATAGCCCGTGCATCGCACGGGTACGAGTCTAGTCCAAAACAGGGAAAAGTGATTAGTGGGGCATTATTATAGGGATATGCTATGTGTACCCCAAGATTTGTATCCCAATTTGTACCCCGCAGTTTTGCACCAACATTTTGTGTTGGTGTAAAACTAATTTTTGTTAAACGCACCAACATTTGTGTCCGTGTGAATTTTTATTAACGCACCCTTGGTGTAAACCATCGAAATGTTTGTGCAAACCTGTGGTGTACAAATGGGGTATATTTTTTGGTGTAAGTGTAGCATGGTCCTTATATGATACATGTATTCACAGTTCAGCAAATTCATATACGTAGTATCTGCAGATTTAGAAACAGAAGAAATAGTTAATAGTGGAAAAAAAGTACAAAAAGGCCTTACTTGTCATACTAAAAGCACAAATCACTACAAACTAGACATTTTTATGGTGAAGAAGGGAGTATTTGTTAAATAACCCATTCATTCATATCTTACAAATTGCTTGCTTTCTGCAATGACTTGAGAAACCCAACCATGCTGTCATAAACATCTTCTTTGGACCTTACACTCAAAATGAAATCAATGTGACCATAATCGCCTAGATACAGCACATCCGGCTTCCCTTTCAACTCCCTCAGTGTGTGTTCAACATCTGCCACGTCGGCCAAGGCATCATTCCCTCCGTAGCCCATCCACAAAGGCAGGGATTGAGGAATCTCGCTAAGGTCGAATTCCGGGGGGTTCCTTTGGCCATAAAGAATCAAGTTTTTCCATCGCCCGTAGTCGTACTTTGCAAAAGTGCCTTTCCTGATCACTGAAACACCCACACAGATTAGAGAGAGATATTATCACAACATAACAATAAGGATGATGGCATTGCAAGATGAATTACTTTGGAAAAGATGAATCAAATTCTTTGTGGATGATGGGTGTGGTTCATAATCAAGATAGAGATCAATCCTGGAAGAGTTGAAACAGCAGTCCTTCCCTGCAAACATATTCCTGACTCCAGTAAAAGTAAAAGGAAAGGCGCAAAAATATGCAAGTTCGGCGGGGATTCTAATGGACACGGTTTGAGCAGGCGACATTGGGTGATTGAGTGAAATAAATTAGTTGTGTTCAAAGAATTAAAAAGCGGAAACCTGTGATAGCTGATAACATGTCATCACAGTTAACATGTCCATCGCACATCATATCCATGATGCGAGTGGCCAAGACACTGAAAAAAAAATTATTAACAGCATTGAAAAATAATTCGAGGGCTTAATTTCAAAACAACTAAAATACAATACTAGTAAAACCTCTTGAAATTAAGTTCATGCACGCCCAACGCAAGAATCACCTGTTCAAAGAGAAACATGTTTAGCATGATATATTCTACACTGAATCCTCATCACCAGCACTAGTAACAAGGAGTCATCCAAATACCTCATCAAGATACATCTTGACCATTCTAAGGACAAAAGTGGATGTCATATGATCCAAATACGAAATAGGGCAAAGGAGTGCTGCAGCTTCAACCATTTCTACTATATTTGGCTGGGTTAAAGCGGCCAGAGAAATTATTGTGCCCTGAAAAAAGAAAGAATGTTAAAAAAAGAAAAAGTAAACTACGAGGCAACACAAAGCTTGGTATGTAAAAAGAATTTATACCTGAGAGTGCCCCACAATGGAAACCTTTGAGTTTGTGATTGAATATACATAGCGTGTCATCTCTGCTAGATCGTAAAGAGCCAACTCTTGCCAGCTCCAGTCCCAGAAATCCTTCAAAGAATTATGTCAAACATGTGATGTGAACTTCCATGCATGTGGCATAAATTTCAAAACACATAACTGCAATACCCAATCGACCTTATCTTTCTCAGTTAGAAATACATGTCCATGGCTCCAGCGAGTTCCTCGCACATTTCCAACCCAAACATCAAATCCATGATCAGCAAGTATAAATCCCAACGATTGGTTGGCAGAATTCAGAAACCACGAATCTCCTGCCTGTTTTGAACAAAAAAGTGCCAAAATCTTAGTAAAATTCACAAGAAACTTTAAGCTGACTGATCTCGAAACAATCCTACGCTAGAAAAATTCACATTTGAGAATCCATGGGGCAAATAACTTCTTTTATTCCACTAGTAAGCTAAGTGACAAACGTAAGTCCAACAAAGGTGGATTCAGATTAAACCCTTAGAGTAAGAATGACACCGTTAAATCCAATACAATGTCTCGGAGAAGAAATTACCATAAAAAGACCGTGAAGGAGAAGAACGGGGGGACCCAATTCGCCATTGACAATTCCTGAGCCGGACCCAACCCGTTGTAGCCCAAGAACATATCCATCCTTAGTTTCCGTCTACAATGAAAAATCAAACAACCACCTTCTATAAGCCAAAACTATTCAACAATATCCTCACAATGAAACATCAAACAAAAATAGGCATAAAATACTGGAAGATGGTTGTGGGAAATTTACGGAGTGCTCCGAGCAAGAGAAACCGGCAGGTTGGATGAGGTGAGAACAGAGTCCAGTGACACCAGACTTAAGGCGGATGTTCGGAAACCCGGCAAAGCTTCCAGCGGAATCGGCGGCTGAAAAGAAGAGAGGCATAATTACAAGTAGTAAAGCAATCGGATGCCGCATTTCTCCCGGCCGGTTACTGCCCCGCCGGGTTAACAGCGATGGCCGATAGACATTTGCGCGGCCGAAGATTGCTTTGACGTTTGCTAAAGAATCCACCAGGATAAATGGGAGAAATTTCATACTCCCTCCCTCTTAAATTATTTGTAACATTTTCTTTTTTAGTCGTTGCGAGAATTTTTATTTATTTTTACATTTTCATTGGTTATTTGATAAAATAAAATATTCTTGACATCTCTTATTTAAAAAAACTTTTCATGTAGTTTTTTGATATGTAAATTTTATTTTTTATTTTTATACCAATATGTAAATAAAATGAGTTAAAAAAAATTTATATTTTGACTCGGGAATACAAGTATAGCAAATATTTAGGGACGGAGGGAGTATCAATATATATACTAGTATTTTAACCCGTGTCATGCACGGGATGATACAAAATTATTTGTGATTCTACAATATGGAATATTAAAATGACTTTGTTTTTTTATGATACATATCATTTAGACATCAAATATAAATGATACAGGTTTATTGAATTTATATAAATTTATAATTTTTATTCCCGTATAAATTAAAAAAAATACAAAAAATAGTAGTGATTCTATAAATCTTTTCCCCAGCATAAATTTTAAAAAGCTTAAATTAGCGATTTTATGATTCTACCATTAAAAAACATGATTTTTCTCCCCCACATTAATTGAGATTAGCAAAAGAATGATTCTCCCACCCTCGCATTGAATACAAAAATTGATTCATCTCTACTGCATTATTTTAAAATAAAATATTGGATTAGCGATCTTATGACTCTACTATTAAAAATATTCATTTGAAAAAAATTAAAATACAACAATTCTTCTCCCCGCATCAATTTTGAAAAAAAATATTAATAAAAAAGTAGTGCTACAATGATTCTGAAGCAAAAAAGAGAAAGATTAAAATAGAAATAAAATATAAGAAAATAACAAATATAGAATCTTTATGTTTTATCTGCAAAATAAGAACTATAATATGAATAAGACCAACATATAATACAAAAATTACAATGAAATGTCAATATATAATGTCACTTTACATTGCAATAGTACCATTTTGTAGATAAAAACATGTGACTCTTATTTTGTACTCCCTCCGTCCCCCTGTATTTGTCCACTTTTGATTTTTGGAACTGTTCATCTAAGCACTTTAACTCGTCAAATTCTTTCAATGTGTAAACCTAAATATAGTCATATCATGTTTGATTTGTCTTAACATATAGATTATTAATATATAATTTCTATAATTTTTTAATATACAAATTACAAGATAAAATGGATTAAAGAAGTGCATTGGATGGTGTGTAAAAATGAAAGTGGACAAATACAGGGGGCGGAAGGAGTAGTAGCATTCTGATCAATACAAAAGGTTCTAACAAAATATAAATAGTTGCAAATTGGAAATTATATTTTTCTTTGATGTGCTTTGTATCCAAGTTTTGATCTTATTCATTTTTGCACCTTGGATCTTCTCTACACTTTTTCTTGTTTTATTTATTGTCTTTACACCCATCTTCATTGTCACAGACCTTCTAACACTCACCTCCGCATCTTGATCTTCCTTATCACAATCTTTTTTGCATACATTTGTGTCATCTCTCTCTATCTCATAAAACACTATCGTATGTTTTTTGCACAGAAAAGCACAAAATTTTTATTAACCAAACCTAAAAGTTCATACATACAGACATATACTCCATATAGCTCTCCCTTACTCTTACAATGCCCTCATAAAATTAAAATAGCATCTCATACAAGAACTGATAAAATTAAGAGTTTCTTCTATGGAACACTGCCCTTGTTTTATCTTCTTATTTCGCATTCTCCAAATGTCATACACTCCAGCAGCCCATAACGCAAGGACCAGCTTCCTTCTTTTCTCCTGAAGACTCTGTACGTCCAACTCCATCTCCCCCAAGTGAGAAAATTGGATGCTAACCTTAAAATCTGAAGAACACCTTCTGTAAATCTCCTGAGCAACCTCAGAGTCCCAGAACAAGTGTTTGTCTGTTTCCTCCTCATCTTCACATAAGGTACAACTTGTGCTAATATTGATAAACCTGTTGACTCTTACTTTAGTCTACAATCTCACATTCATCATCAACCACACTATATGTTGAATCTTGGGTGGGGTGATCTTGTTCCAGACCGTAGCTACCCATTTAGGTTTAATAGTTTCTCCCTGGAGCCAGTCATATCCATCTCCAATCTGATATTCTTTACCAACAAAATGGTAAGTTAAAATACAAACTTATTTTGATTAAAATAGTTAGTCGAATTACCAACATAAAATACAAAATTCATATTAAATATTTATTTGATTTAAATACTTGATGATTTTAAATAGTAGTCAAAGCATTTCTTGTTTTATATAATTTTAAAATAGATATTGAAATATATTTTTTTATTTTACATCAATGTTTAAATAAATAGAGTAAAAACTATCTTCATTTCGGCATACCATAAAAATATGAAACTTACTCAAAGTATTATTATAAATGAAGTAAACAAATATAATATTAAGAAAGAATACTTTAATAAAAATGAAGATCTCTATTCTATATTTAAAATTTGTCAATGATGGTGAAAGAGTATGGAATGCTTGTGTACACATAAGAAGTCATGGTGACACATTTGTTTCTAAAGTGTATTCAATAATATAAGTAAAATTATCATATACTGATAAATAGTTAAAAATAATGTATTGTTTTCTCTATTTTTATATACTCATTCAAATGAGCACCAATGGTAGTTAAGTCATACCATAAACTTAATATACTCGATCAAATGATCAAATTATATATAATATTGTTTTCTGTATTTAACACATTTATAGTTCAATCATTCCATATTTTCTATTCGAGCGACGTGCAAAAGCTCGTGAATTTTACAATGATTTCGTTTACAAATTGGTATATAAAAAAATTAAATATTTAAAAATTATATCAAAAGTTTTAAAAAATAAGAGGTGAGAGGTAAAAAAAAATGTTTTATTTTATCATATGATCAATAAAAACATGCAAACTAACAAAAGTTATCAAGACGCTGCAATAATAAAGAGGTAAATTATTTTGAGACAGAGCGAATTAAATATTATTATAGTTTTTAAAATATTTTAATTTTAATATTTTACATTACTATTTAAATAATAAAATCAAAACTAACTTCATTTAAACATCTCAAAAAGAAATATGAAATTTATTAAGAAGTGAAGAGAGTATCTAATTTATTATTTTGAAATTTTGATATAAATGAAGAGAAAAAAATATAAATTAGGAAAGAATATTATTATATAAATGAAGACATTTTTTCCATAATAAATTTACTCATTGATTTCAAACCAAACTATTACTTTATTATTTTCCATGTCACAAATTGTGTGGCATATTGAGTTTCAAGTGGCATATTGAGTTTCAAAAAACGCCACATAAACAATATATACAACATGTCGACTTTCTAGAGATTTAAATATTATTTTTATATATAACGGATATCTCAGTCATACAATCTGAATTTAGCGATAAATTTTTATCTGAAAAAATTGTAATTATAATTCATCTTTCACTTTATTAAAATAAATACGTTTGACATTTCCAGTAAAGTTCAGTTGTAAAATAAATTTAATTTTTTTAATTTTTATGAAAATAAGTTTTTTGTGAAACATATCAAATGTGAATATAGGTTTTTTATTTTTAAAAAACAAATTTATTTTAGTTTTTTATTAATTGAATCTATTTTATCACCGTGTTTTTAAAATCTTTTGTTTGAAGTCATGATATTTTTTGTGTTTTATAATTTTAATTATTTCAGTGTATGTATAATTGATTATTAATGTTAGAATAATCCATGAACTTGAAGAATCTAAACAAATATTGATATAGAAAAATAAAAAGTATCTAAATCTATACAACTCCATTTAGAGTTAAAATCACTCATGTGATAAGAAAAGATCATTTTGGAAAATATTAAATTAGAAAAGACTATGTACGAAATTATTGATTATTGAGAACAGATTTGAAAAAATACCTTAGTAGAAAGAACTATTTTGAAAATTTACTCAATTTCTTTTTTTAACTTATTTTTAGTTTTATTAGATTACTCATTTTAAAGCTAAATTCAAATCAGTTATGTATACATTTTTTGTTGAATTACAACCATATTTTTTCTAAATAAATTCTCATAAAAAATAATAGATTAATAATTTTAAGAACATTTTATTTTTTACTTAAAAACTTTTATATCAGTGTTAGCGTCTTTTATAATGAATAATTCACTTAATTTTTATAGAAAAATTATATTTTTATTTTCATTCATTTACTTGATTTTCTTTGGATTCAAAAGTCTATAATATTATTGTAATATAAAATATACTGATTTAAACTAATCAAATATTTAAATATCAACTTCTAAATATTATAATAAACTATATGCTAAAAATGATCAATAAATATTTCAAACATGGCATAGATTCCATATTTGTTTCTTTTTTCATGTTATTTAATCTTTAAAAAATAAAAAAAATTAGAATGAATATTGGTCACACAAATAATTTTGAATATGATATGTGACAATAATAGTGAGCATATTAAAGAAGTAAAAAGAGATTAAAAACGTCAAATAAATGAAATACAAGTTAAAGAAATATAAAGAAAGTAATTTTTTTATAATATCAAATATATTAGTGCAATCTTATCAAATATATCAATATCAAGTTTAAAAAGTTACCATAAATTATTTGTTTAAAATGATCAATGATTATTCAAAAGTTATTATATATGAAGAGTTTTTTATGAATGATTTTATATTCAATTAATACATACGGTCATCATTGACGTGTCAAAAAAATTTCACGTAAGCATTCCACATGTCAAGCTCTGATGATCCGAGTCTAAAATATTAAATTAAAGGATTTCTGCTGGTTTACTCGGATATTACGTGGCTTGCTGACATGTATAAATTTTGCCACGTAGACATGTCAAATGTCGAATGTCTGTGCATCCGAGTCTCCTTTATTATATTAAAGGATTTAGATTCAACTTAATAAATACTCCCCGCGTTCAATTGAAATTTTGACTTGGCACGGGTTTAATCTAAATAGTAGAAAAGAAGATGAGTTTCCTATTTTACCATTCATGAGTCACTTTTTAGAAAACAAATCAAAAGAATAAAGCCTATAGTGCTCAATAGTGACAAAGTATATAAGTTTAGATTTTTCCCAGAAAATTGTTGTCGGGTACCCTCGATTTTGTGATAAGAACTCACAGGTCCCATCTTTTTGAAAAATATACTCCGGGGTACCTTTAATTATCCGAAAACTAACTCCGGGGAGACTTTCCGTCCATCCCTCCGTCAAATTTATTTTCTCCGATAACTTTTCATCATTTTCTTTCTAAAAATTGCTGTTAGGTACCCCCAATTTTATAAAAGTAACTTTCAGGTCCCATCATTTTTAAAAAAATACTCCGGAGTATCCTAAAATATCCAAAAAGTTACTATGGGAGTTTTCCGTTTTTCATTTTATTATTATTATTATTATTATTATTATTGCGATTATCATTACTATTACTATTACTATCACGATTATTATTATTATTATTATTACTATTATTATATTTATTATTATTATTCTAGCGCATGTAATGAAAATCCAATGCAACTCAATAGGCAACGCGACAGCGAGTTACAGATGCAGAAGATAATGATGAAGTGACTAATAATAGTAATACTCCACTAGTAATAGTAATAATAATAACAATCACAATAATAATAATAATAATATAATAATAGTAATAGTCACACAATAATAATAATAATAATAATAATAATAATAATAATAATAATAATTTAAGAATAATAATAATAATAAAGGAAAATTTTTCCAAAGCAAGTTTGTGGATATTTTAGGGTACCTGGAGTATATTTTTAGAAATGATAGGACCTGGAAGTTATTTCTACAAAATTGAGGATACTTGACAACAATTTTTGGGAAGAAGAAGATGAAAAGTTAACGGAGAAAGTGAATTTAACGGAGGGATGGACAGAAAGTCTTCCCGGAGTTAGTTTTCAGATAGTTAAAGGTACTCCGGAGTATATTTTTTAAAAAGATGGGACCTGTGAGTTCTTATCACAAAACCGAGGGTACCCAGCAGCAATTTTTTGGATTTTTTCCAATTCAATCATTATATACACCTATTCATGCACATACACCCCGGCCCATACGCATGATTCATATCTATAAAAGTGAAAGAACATTTCCCTCCAAAACACCCAAAACACATTAAAAAATCAAAACGTGGAGTGAAAATGTGCTACACATATTCTCTAAAAATAATCCTTCCAAAAATAGCAAGACATGCCCAGTCTTCTTATTCTTCCTTTCTTTCCTTTTCTTCTTCTTCTTCTTCATCCTGTCTTTCCTTTTCTTCTTCTTCTCTCTTTTCTTCTTTAAAAAACTACAACCTTTCTTCTACCACATGTCCCTGCAAATAGAAAATGGTGGTGAAGAAACCCAAGCAAAAAAAGAAAATACAGATTGAGCAATAATGAAAGGTAAAATATCATTGATGCAATTGTGTTGGTAACAAAGCCTAAGCACTGGGCAAGATTACTTCTCAGAGGGGTGTTATAAGTAAAATTGCAGCTGATTTCAACATTACAAGGAGGACATTAAACATTTTGTAGAGCCAAGCAAGAACTCAATTGGAGGAATGGCGTGCCATTGATGTCAAGAGCAAGATGGCAGGTAATCCTGATAGGAAAAGAATTGATGTAGACCTTAATGTAATATGTGACATTCCATTATGGCAAAGAGTAAACATCAGATCTCGTGCCATAACATTAGGTGTACCTAAGTCAACAGTACACCATGGGATTCAAAGAGGTTTGTTTAGAAGTCACACAAATGAAATTAAACCCTTCTTAACTGAAGCAAACAAGCATGCAAGGCTTCTTTTATGTTACAAACAACTAGAACCCTTAAGTATCCCCTCTAACTCTAGATTTAAGACTTTTTATAATGTTGTTCATATTGATGAAAAATGATTTTTCATGTCCAAGACAATCTAGAGGATTTATTTGGGTTAGAGGAGGAGGATCCTTATAGAACTTGTAAATCTAAGAGGTTTATAACTAAGGTGATGTTCTTGGGGGTTGTAGCAAGACCCATTCTTTCCAAAGAAAGAAAGGTAGTATGGGATGGGAAATTAGGAATCTTTCCCTTTATAAAAATTGTGCCTGCCAAGAGAAAGAGCAAAAACAGGGCCGCACGGGTGTTGAAGATTAAACCAATTCATAGTGTTACCAAACAAGTCTTTAAAGACATGTTAATCGATCCATAAAAGTCATACCCACCATTCAAGAAAAGTGGCCAGCAATGCTTGGGACAAACATCATCATCCAACAAGACAATGCAAGACCACATATTCCAGACAATGACTGTGACTTTGTGGCAGCATCTACTTCGAATGGGTTCAACATTACTCTAACAAATCAACCCCCTAATTCCCCTAATTTAAACATCCTAGACTTGGGATTTTTTTATGTCAATTCAGTCTCTAACAGAGTAATCAACTCCTACTAGTGTGGCAGAACTCATCATAGCAATTGAAGACTCGTATGCAAATTTATCAGCACACACTTTAAATAAAGTGTGGTTGAGCAACCAAATCACAAATTATAAATACACGAGATAGACAACAATTATAAAGTCCCTCATATGGACAAGGATAGACACACAAGAGAGGGAACTCTTCCTAATGCTATGCGTACACTGATATGCACATATTTTATACACTTTTTAAGCATATTTTGAAGGAGTTTTGAGTCCCAATTGAATTTAATGTTTATATTTTATTTCAATTTTCCGTTTTATTTGGGTAGAGCAGTCCTATGCTTGGTTTTATATGTTTTGCAAGTATTTTGAGGCCATTTGGACGCATTGAGAACAATTTCAAGAACGGAAAATAAACATGGAAGTTTGGGACCAAAATAAATGGAAGAGATTTGAAGAAAAGAAAGAAATAAATTTAAAAATGAATAGAATGGAGCTGGGTTTCAAACTTTGGACTTGAGGGTGTTGGAAATGGAGCTTAGACCATTGTGCCACAACTGACTGTTAGAGCACTGGTAATGGTTATGAAGCCCCGGGGCTTCAAACTTTCTCTCTCTGCCACGTCAGCTTTAACTTACACCCAAAATTCACTGGAAATGGGTTTGAAGCCCCGGGGCTTCAAAACTGGGCTTCAAACCTTCATTTTTTACATTTTTAAATATACATCTTCTAAAATTAAATTAATAAAATGTAATTAATTTATTATTTAATTAAATTGAAACACGAATAATAAAAAAATACATTCATTAAATAAAAAAAGCGTCAATAATTTAAAAAACGATACATTAATAAAAAAAACTAAGGTAAATTATATTTCACCTTGATCTCTCTCATTCTTTGCTCATAGATCATTCGTCCAAACTCCGACAACGTCCCGGGGTCGGTTTGCATGACTTTCATCTCAGCCTCCTGCTCCTTTAGCTTCAACTCCTCCTTTAGCTTCAACCTCTCTTGTTCTTGGAGATTGAACGCCCGAAGTTGTTCAATCATTGCCCGGTCGATTTCGTCGCGGGGAGAAGCGGAAACAGAGGCGGACCCTCCCGAACCCGAGGCAATGGATTTTGCCTTCTTTCTTCCGATCGGCCGTGGAATGGGGTCCTCGTCATCGGAATCCGCAATGTTGAAGGGAGGGATTTGATCGCTAGAACCGATAGTCTCGTCGACCTCAACCTCGGCGTCGACGGTGGATCTTTTCCGGATACGATCCCACATCGCATCCTTCGTTTGCTCCGTACCTTTAAAAATGTATTACACAAGTTTTTTAGACACCATTAAATATAATATATAAAAATAAAAACATAAATATATTACAAAAAATAAATTTTTAACCAATGATAGGATGCTCGGAGACGTCAACCCAAGCCGACGCCAATATGCACTCCTCCTCCGGTGCCCACTTTTGGATTGACCGTGCCGCCTCGGTCAACGTGCTTTTGGCTTTGTGGCTTTTCCGGCGTGTACTTTTTTCGATCCGGACGGTTCCGGTTGAGTCTCCGGAACCGAATCTCGGTCGACGTACCCCGACTGTTGCGTCTCGTACATCGGCGGTCGATCGCCCAACTCTTGGTAATACCACATCGCGGCGTCGACGGGCGGGAGATCGTCGGGGAAAGAAGCCGGAGCCGGAAGGATTCATGTTGAATATTGGGAGGGGGGGTATGAATTTTGAAATTTAAAAATAAGAAAGAAGAAGAGATTGAAGAGAAGGTGTGAGAGATTGGTTGGGGGGTTGAATTTATAGGGAAAAAAAATTTTGAAATGTGGGCTGCAACGGCTTTTTTAGCCGTTAGGAGGGAGCCGCGCAAGAGTCACGCCGCGTCAAACAATTGACGCAGGGCTCCTCGCGCCAGTTTAACGCCGGCGGGGGGCGGTGTTTCACGCCCCTGGGGCGTTTAACGCCCCGTAACGCCAGTGGGCGTGAAGAGTATTACCATTCCTCTTAGGCTTATCACTGGCGGACAACAATTATGTTCTTGCTTTGAATCGTTCCATGAATTGAGAGAGAAAAATGACAAAACAGTGAACGGTGGAAGCTTCGAACACGGGTGACGCGGCAAGATAAGAAGCTGCATTTCCATGTGCGCCACTGTAGCTGTATTGACTGGAAGTGTAACTGTTAGTATATATTCTGTATATACGAATTTATCTATAAAATCCACTCCCTTCTCTTCTTCAAAGAGGTTGGAACCCCTCATTTCTCTCCTCTCTCCCATCCGAAATTCTCCTCCTCCATCACTAATATCTCACCACTTTCTTCATCCAAACACATAAAAATTACTCCATCTTCATCATCATTTATCATATTTGGAGCTCAAGAACACATCTTCCATTTTTGTAAGATATTTATTATTGTAATAAATATTTATTTGTGTAAGCTCCAAACTATGAACTTCTAAATTCCATTAGGGTTAGAAGTTGGTGTAATGAATTGTCCATCTTAATGTTTTAAATATTTTTAACATGGATTGTTGATTTTATTTTTACTTAGATGTTGTATTTAAAAATAAATAAATTTGGAATGTTTGTGATTTTTAATTAAGGGCCCAATCATAAACATAATTGTTAAAAGGAACTCTGCCAAATTTTCTTCCTCCACTTAAATTTTCATTCTCTCAAACATAATTAAGGGCCCAATCATAAACATAATTTTTAATTTTTGTGAAGGGTTGATGATGTATTTTGGTCTTTTTTAAAATTTTGCTCACCTGTTTTTGGGGTAAATGGGTTAGTAAGCAAAAATTACAGAATACGGGGACCTTGTAATTACTCTCTATATCATTGAAGTGTACTCAATTTCTACCCAATCATCATTGCAGTTTAGACTTACCCATTGTGCACTATGAATGCATTTGAAACTATGAATATACAAAGAGGTTCACATCACAGCAAGTTCAGGATTTTTCAAGTGTAATAAAACATCACAGCAAGCTCAGTGAATCCAATTACGAGAAGCATGACATTCACATCAATTGCAACATACATTAGAGTCAGAACACAGAAGAGGTTCACATCACAGCAAGTTCAGGATTCCTCAAAATATATAAAGGGCAGAACATCAAATGAGGCACACATACTGAATTACACAACGTATAAGGAAAAAGATTAGACAAGGATTACTTAGCGTTAAGAAACTTCTCTAAAGAAAAATCTTGTTTCCGCCTTCGAGGGGTCAAACCTTGCTTCCGCAAGGGAGGAATCTGCTCCATCACAATAACCCCACCCATAAAAGTGTCACTCGTAGTGGAAGGAGGCTGCATGGCTTTATCCCTATCATCGCCACCAATTTCGTAGAGATTAGGGTTAGGAATGTTTGAAATTTCAGAGAGAATGTACAAATCCTCTAAATCTATGAAAACACCTAAATCTAAAGTTATGAATGAGAACGAAAAAGGAAGATCGAAAGTGTGAGAGAGCGATGATAGTGAGGAAGATGGAGAGTGTGAGAGCGAGTCCATCACAAACAGCAAGTGATGACCGTGAAAATGAAAGAGACAAAAATTTACTTCGTAGATGTGAAAATTGAAAGCAAGGTGGGTGGATGAGAATGAGATAGTGATAGAGAGTAGATAATGAAAGTGGGGTAGGGGTTAGATTAGGTTTGGTGATGTCATAGAATACTCTAGGGGTGGGCATTGATCGGAACGGTCCGGATTTTAGGTTTTCCCACGTCTTGTCCCGTTATATATAAACGGTCCGGAACGGCTTGGATTACAATCTTATCCCGGTTTGTCCCACAAAATTCGGGATCGGAATAAACCGGGACGGATTCGGGTCGTCCTACTTTGTCTTAATCTCACATTTTATTCAAAAGAAGAAGAAACATCTAGCCATCCAACAAAAAATAAACTTAATAAATTTAATAAACTTTAGGCTGAAATATCAAGCCTATGAAATTAACTTAATTAATTAATTAATTAATTAATTAAAGGATGAGTGTATTTGGATTTTGGACTAGAATTAGTATTATATATTAGTAGAGTAGATGAAACAAGACAAACGGGACGGATCGGTATAAATTTAAGCTGTCCCGCTCATGTCTCATTTGATACTAGGAGGGAATGGGTTCGGGATAAAAAATGTGTCCCAATTAATCGGTACAATTACAAAACGGATCCGGGATTTTTCGGAACGGTCCAACGAGAACGGATTTCACGCCCACCCCTAGAATACTCCGTAAATGTAAGTGGAAATAAAGAGGGGTAAATAGGTCATGGTAAGTAGGTTTGGTGATGTCATAGAATACTTCGTAAATGTAAGTTGAAATAAACAGGGGTAAATAGTTCATTGTAAGTGTTTTTTTATTTCCAAATAAAGAAATGGAAAGAATAAATTTAAAGATGAAAACTACAAATAAAAAATTAAAAATAAAACATTTTTTCGCCTCCAAACCAAACAAGGTGAAAGGAATCTTTTACTTCCCTTCTCATTCCCTCACATCCATTCTTTCCCCTCCCCTCTCTTCCAACCAAATATACCCTTCTGGAAATCTTTTTATCTGCAAGTTAATCACTCCTAATAGCCCTCAAAGTAATCGATAAAGCTACTCTCCATATTTCTAGTTGGATACATTAAAAATCAAATAAAGAGAAATATTCCATATGATTTATTCAATGAGAAATTTACTTAAATAGCACTAAAACATAATGATTTTCCCTAAATAGCATCACATGTGTTTTTTTTCCTAATGTAGAACTTTTAGTCATTATTCAAGCAAATATTCGTCATCACTAGACATTATGGACATTATTAAGTGTTATTTAGGGAATAAAATAGTTTAAGTGCTATTTAGGGAAATGACTTAAGTTTTAGTGCTATTTAGTGCAAATATTTCTTATTCATATTCATTTAAAATTTAATGTGTTTAAAAATCTAGAAAACACACTTTCTATCCACTTTTTTTTCACTCTCCGTCTCTCCCTTATTTTTCTTTTCATTTCCTAAACTAACATCTAAAAAAATCATTTTATGTATTACCCATTCGAATGTCAGATTTTTTTTCATCTCACATTAAAAACTGTGACAGATCAAAACGAAAAGTTCCAAACTTAGAAAACTAGTTTCTAGAGTCACTCAAAAAGAGTGGCTACGGAAGCCACTCACCTAATTAATTGGGACACCTACGGTGCTCCGTTCACAAAATTGATAGTTCCTACCCCCTCTAACCCCCTACCCGGTCCCGATCCCAACTCATCCCCTTAACCACGTTAATTGCGGGATGCAAGTTTAGTTGACTTTGGAGTCAAAATTTTTGACTTTAAAGTTAATTATACTTACGGGGTGCAATTGACGTAGGTGGGGAGATGATTTGGGGTCGGGACTTGGCAGGGGGCTTTATCGGGGGAGTTATGGGGTAGGAATCATCAATTTTATGAAAGGAGCTCCGTAGGAAGGAGAATGACTTCCGTAGCCACTGAAATCCAGTAGCCACCAAACCGAGCCGTATCGAATTCGGGATAGTGTTATCCGTATAAAAATTTGATATTTCTTTTAATGGTTGTCCTTCCACCACCGGCTAATACTCTTACTTCCAAGTTCCAACCATCGGCCACCCCACCTAGTACTCGTATTAATAAAACTACTGCTCCTTTTGTCTCAAGATAGATATCACTTTGTGAACAATATGTAAAACTCATTATTTTTTTAAACCATTTTAATTATAAATTAGTATAAAAATAAAAAAATATAATGTATACCATTTAAAAAAAATAAAAAAAAATTAAGTAAATTTCATAAAAGGTTTCCATTTATAGATCGTTTTACATATTTAGTCCCTACATATCAAATATTATTAATTTAGTCCCCAATCATTATTTTCATTTCCACAAATGGTCCTTTGTTAACATTTCCGTTAAGAACGTGGATAAATTTCTCTCCTCAATTAAGCTTTCTCCCTCCCCTAACACTTTTTTCCCAAACACATCGCTGAGTTTGAAACTTTGAACCCAAATCCAATCGAAATCATCACACCTCTCTCAATTGTTTGCCTAACTGGTGGAACCCCAAATTCGAAACCAGTAACCTTCATAGATGAGTTTTAATGTTTATTTTCTTTGCAATTTCTTGAGACTAACCGATACAACTCATCCATAAAGCTTATTGGTTTTGATTTTATGTTCCACCAAGAAGACTAATAATTGAGAGAGCAATGATCATTTTAGTTTTGGGTTTAGAGCTTCAAACTCAGCGACGAGTTTGAGAAAGAGTACAAGAGGAGGGATGAAGCTTATTAGAGGAGAGAGAAGTATGAATATATAATTTTATCCATGTTCTTAACAAAAACGTTAACAAAGGAACATTTGTGAAAAAATAATATAATAATTAGAGACTAAATTAGTAATATTTGATATGTAGGGACTAAATATGTAAAATGACCAATAATTGAGGACCTTTTATGGAATTTACTCTTTCTTTTTTATGATTAATTTATTTAATTTTTTGTTGAAAAATTACATTTATTTCATTTACATAATTTTCAATAAATTAAAAAATCCATATTTTTTCAATATAAAATATATTATTTTAAACTCATCATATATTAAAGGTTATCATAAATAAATTTTCATAAATGATGAATGTGAATTTAAAACATGTTATGTAATTTATTCATTTTTCATGTCATTTAAAAATTGCTTGTAAGATGACACATGTCAACTACTTGGAGACATGAGTCTCAAATATTGTAGTAAACGATTACGTGGCGCTAACGTGTTTCGCCAAATAGACATGCCAAATGTCGAATTCTTGTGAACCAGAGTCTCCTTTATTATAGTAAAGGATTGAAGTATTATTTTTATGTGCTTCGGAAAAGTACAGCTGGAAGACATCTATCCAAATTGAGTAAAGATTGGCCTGTTTTCCTGTTAAAAAAACTAAATCCTTAATTACCTAATTCAACAAGACAAGTAAATTAAGAAGCTTACCCGAAATCAGATTAGAATCACCATTAACTCAGAAGGCCATTACCAAAGTAGGGATTGCAGTGCTACCTATGATCAAAATCTAATCTAGATATGATCATCATCATCATTATGCAAGTAAATATGATCTTCATAGTAATCCCAAAACAAAGACCACAACTTCACGACAATTTCTTTTAATTCTCAAAAATGAAACAAGACATGCAGAAAATAAAGAGCAAATTATAGAGGGAGAGAACCAAATCTCAAATTCTAATACGAGTATGTTATAAATTTTCATGGTTATTATGGTTTGCACCGTACATTGTTCTCTCAATTTTAAAACAGAAATTAGTTGAAGAGCAGACTGCCGAGGAGGCTGAATGGCGATTCACGATAAATTTCATCCATTTAGGTGGATCTCCAACCCAGAGCTTATTGTCGCGATTCTCAACATCTATACACAACCAAGCAAGTATAGCTGATTGATCCCCTGGAGCACAGTACCACAGCCTAGCAGCAACACTTTCTGTTTCTTAGACCAATTTTGAAGAGCAACATATAGTAAATATAAACATTCACAACAGCCAACTCACGGCCTAGCAGGAGTTTGAGTTTTAGGGTATCATTACTATTGACTTGTTCATCCCACATCGGCAATGCAGCCTTTTATTCTACTACTAATTAAAAGCTTGGGTACCTTAACCTCTTGAGTTAACTTTTGGGGTTGAATTGAGCCCAAGTCTATTGTCTCAACATGGTATCGGAGCGCCCGCAGTAATCTGCGCCTAACTTTTGGGACCACGCCTGCAGTAATCTGCACCTCGTGTGAGGGGGGCGTGTTCACTTGTTCATCCCACATCGGCAATGCAGCCTTATATTGTGTTGCTATTTAATAGCTTGGGTACCTCAACCTCTTGAGTTAACTTTTGGGGTTGAATTGGGCCCAAGTCTATTGTCTTAAGAATTACCGATGGCATAAAATCTCGGAATGTGATGCAATGCAGGGAACTTATTGAGGACAATTTTCCACGGCCTACAGGTCTCCAGTGTCCTTGGTCACCTCTGGTGTTTTCTCACTTAAGCCCAACCGAATACCCATTTAACCTGTCATCTGCCTCGATCAGCGGCCATAGCTTGCTCTTCCAAGAGGTAATGATTGTGTACGTAAAATGCCGAAATGAGGCCATTTCTGGGAAAATCAGATTAAGTTACACCTAATTGCCACACACCATTGGCAAGTTGCTAAGACCCCCCACCCACCCACCCCCCACCCCCGTGAAATAAGTTTGAAAAGATATACAAGTCAGAAAATTGAAACCTACTCTCAGAGAGTGGTGAAGTTGAGATTTTGGAGAGAGTGTTGTGATCATCAATCGGGTATTGCCAAATCAATGACAAAGGCAGAGGCCACACACCATTTGTAGTAATAAATTAGTCCTTCACGTGAGACAGTGGTAGACTTCCCCCATACGTTTCGCTAACACGTGCCTAACAAAGGATCCAGAAAAAGTCAATTCCAAGACAGGTAAGAAGAATAAGAATGCATGATCCATAACTAAATAGGAGTGAGATGTCTGCAACTAATGAATATGCAAAACAAATTATTACTAGAGTACTGTATTTCTTCTTTTTTTTTTCATTTTTTTGAGGTAGCATTACTGTATGTCTATCCCTCTAAATCTCTAATCTATTCAAAGACTGCAGTTTGTGTACACTTTAACAGTTGGCGAAAAGAGGAAAGCAAAGCTTTTTTGCATGTATCTGGACAAACAGATATAGAATCTATAAACATTTATGATAACCTGAAGGTAAGGAAGCAGGCTGTTGTAAACTTCACAGAAAACTTTTGACGTTGCAGTCAACCTGTATCAAAAACAAAATTTTGAAATCAATAGAATTAAGCATTAGCATACCTGAACGAATAATCATTAATTCAATAGGGAGAGATATCATGGCAATGTAAATAGAGTTGCAAGAAGAAATACAAAGTCTAGCATGAAAGAATGTATAGATATTGCAGAGGCAATGATTCTAGAAGACTAATGTGTACCTTCTCAGAAGGCAAGCACAGACATAAACCTCTTCTATGTCTGTTTCAACTTTCAGTTCAACATATTGCTTGACAAGTTCACACATGGAACTCACAGCATTACACCATGTATCATCCACATCATCAATGACACATATCTCAGACATAATCTTCTGCAGCACTAATGATAACATGTTGTTTGGTCTTGATTCACAAAAAATATGAGCTAAAACATTCAAAGTCTTGCAGTTACTAGCTTTAAATTTTTTGATCCATTTAGGTTGATCTCCAACCCAGAGTTGATTGTTCTGGATGTTGTCATACTTAAGGGAAGCACGTGAGGGAGACTCGCAGGTCCTATGCGCTGGAAGGTTCTGGAGTATGTTAACCTTCAACTCCTCAGGCAGCTGCTGCAACACTGAGGTATCTACTTGACTTAGAGAAGAGGGCATTATACATGCCTCTACATCAGAACAACCATTAATATTCATATTTGATTTCTCTAAACTGGAAGCAGCACCAGAGCAAGAGTCTGCATGAGCGTTCTCCTTTATATATTGATGCACGTAATAAAAATATTAGAAGACAATTAATCAAAATCTTATCTCACTATTAGATGAATTGGGGATACTAAAGATATTATCTCACTATACGATGAAATACCGATACATTATACGTAAATAATCCATTCGATTATTCGAATACCTGACGACTTACCAAATTATCCGATGAACCAAGGCAACTAGAAGAACGTGTCTTTTCCGTACTGAGTGTACCTGCTTATGACAAGGAAGAAACCCATCATGAAAAAGGCAATATGGATGTGCATGTGTTTGTGTGTGTTTGTCCATAAAAGAACAGATTTAACAAGTTACCATCCAAACTTTTGTGGCATATATCAGCTCTAATGTTTTTCCTTTCTGAAATAAAGTTCAATAATTCCCCATTGTAAATTTCATTTATTTCTGAAAGGAGCTCGGGAGGAAGAGAGTCTATAACACCCACATCAAGATCATGCATAGGAGGAAGACCAGCATCTTGTCTATTACCAACATTACTAGTAGACGGCCTAGCATTGCTTTGAACCAAAGGTCCTACTAAAAAACTTGCTAAACGGGTAGTGTCTTCATCAACACTTTGTTTACCATTACCTGCAGAAAAAAGGAAGTGTTTTGTTCATGTGTAAATATAGCTACAACAAAGCTCAAGGAACTTTAAGCTGATTGAAAATAAACAATTGAAAAATGGTATTCATAGCATACTGAAAACGATAAAAGGAGCAAACAGTTCAGAGATGAAATAATTTACTTTCTAAAACCTAACATCGTGCAGCTCACACCTCAGATAATTCGTGCAGGTGAGCTCAGTCATGGTTTTCAAAGGCATTTGAGGAGGTGTGCCTCAGGGAGCATAGGCGGTGGCTTTAAGCCTCGGGCATTTATGCTTCAGTTGTGACAGATGAGGCTTACGCCCCAGGTTTATGAGGCAGAAGGGAGGTGTAAGCCTCAGTTTTAATGAGAAATTCATTAGTGTGATGGGTTATTTTTAAAAAGCTATGGGCCTGAGGGTTCACCATATATATCTATCATTATTATTTGGCCTATTTAAACCTAGTATATTGATATTATAAAATGTTAGAAATGATAATTGCTCGAGTCTCAAGTGCCATCTTCGTCTCTCCATCAGCAAGTATTCAGGTCGGCTGAAGAGTTTGCAACAGCTAATGTAATTTCTTCATCTTTTTCTTTTAACTTGTAATTCTTCTGATTAGGGAAACAAGCGGGCAACCATGTTTTTTTCTTATCTTTTTGTATCTCTCTCTCCCACCTTCCCTCCCTCCATCTCTCTCAATTTTTATTGAATCTCTGAAATTTGTTTTCTTATTCAGATAGTTTGCAGCTGTTGGTATTTGTTTTGTTCTTTTTTCCAAAAACTAAAATTTGTAAAATTTGTTTTTGAATTTATAATCTTTTTAGAATTGAGTTGGAAACTTGGAGTTTTAGCGTTAAAATGTTCATCATGATTATCTTTTTGCCTGTCTATTTTGCCATCTTTTTTTGTTTTAAATGACAAATATGTATGGTTATGTAACTTTTATTGGACATGTTATGAATGATGCATTTATTGTACTCTGGAGTAATCATTTTACTCTTATTTCAAAGAATTATATGCATAAACAGTCTTTGTGGTCTTCATAAGTAGGTAAATAGTCTTTGTACTTTCAAAATTTGTGAAGTAGTCCCTGTTATGGAAAAAAACATTGCATAATTAGTCCTTTAAAGAAAACGCGAGGCACGTAGAACACGCACATACTATGCGAAAAATGTGAAGCTTGTGATAAAAGCAGAGACAACAAACAAATGCACTATGAACAAAAATGCGATGGAGGTTAAAGGAAATGTACTTTAACCTGTATCAGCACTCTTTGACTGATTACTTTTAGGTCGGTTACTGTCATTTTTCATGGTAGAAGAAAGCCAAGCATGGATTGAATTCTTCTCATTACCTTAGAAAGTGTGTTAAAGAATTCCCATAAAATACATATAAGCAAAATTTGAAAATACACACACCTATATAGAATATGTAGATTTGAGAAGTCAAATCCAACCAGGAACCCACCGAAAAGACACAAAATAGCCTAAACAAATATCTTATAGAAAGTGTTGTTGTCCCATTCAGAAAATGAAAAAGAAACCTTGTTTAGCAATAAATGCCATCTCAAGTTTTGTAACTTGCAAGCCCATTCCTCTTATATCCTCTACATCTGCATAGAAACAAACAAAACAGCTAAATTGAAAGACAGGAGAATTAGATTGATACATATAATTAAGATAGAGCCCATAAAAAATATACCCTAGTAATGAAAATGAACGGACTAGAACTACTCAAGATAGACAACCACTACTTGCATGCAATGACCAGAAGAGCTAGGGTTATGTGCATCTTTTATAAAATATTACTACCTCCTTCCGCTATTTTTGGGACAAGGGAAACTGGGAAAGTGGCACACAAATTGGGAGGAGGGAATTGTGTGGTTGATATTGAAGTTAAAAAGTAAAAAAAAAACAAGAATCGATGTGAGGATTCTGAGCCACATTAATGTTACTAATTTTGGTGAGCGAAAAACTTAGTGGGAGACAGACAAGAAGGTAAACAGCAACAAAAAGTGATGCGGATGGAGTAATAACCAAATCTGGTTACCTATTTGAAAATGTCCAAAGAGCTGAGAAGCTATCCTATAAAGCACATTGACATCATCTGTAGCCATTGCCACCTAGTTTGAAAAATTCAGTAAAAAAATAAAAGGAAATTTTAGTAGGCATAGAACCCAACAGACACATTGTTCAGTATAGCAACAAAAAGAATCAAACCGTTGTAGAGTGACTCAAGTTGTCACAGATTCCGCAACCCAAATATTTTGCAGGCTCCCCAGCATCAATCTTCCTCTTCTTTATCTGGAGAATAAATTACACCAGAGGCGTTAAATTATTTAATAGAAAACAAGAGTGAAGCTGAGCAATGTTAGAGGTGTGTCATGTGTGTATGCATCAGATTGGAACATCAGATTCAAGATAGTTCCCAACCCTAAAGGCCTAAAGAGATGGTAGAAATGAAGACAACGGATGAACCTTAAGGGTAAAAGTGCGGCCCTTAACGCCACATCCCTGCAAACGCAATGAAACCTCATCACAGAGCTTCTTTAAGAAATGTTGAGCCTGCAGTATAAAGCATCAAATACTGTGAGGAACTAAAAATTTCAGATAAAGGAAAGTAGGAAGCAATTGTAAGTACGGATTAAAGCACTAACATCTTTCAGATCCTTGAACCTTACACCCCAGTTGACATCAGCACCTAATGACTTGTTTTCCTGCAAAGATGTAGCAAACATAAAGGCTGCTAATGTTTATAGAAGATTTCAAACAATTAAAATAGGTGATGTAGACACAAAAAGGACATGCAATGTACGTGTGGCTTTCTTTTGGCATGAAAGTAGCAAAAAACTAAACAAGTTTGCATAGTCAGGGTTCAGTAACTACTTTAAGTAAATCCATAAAGATAACCAGCTCAGTCTATAATTTATCCTGCTAGTCACCAGTAGAGATATGTGGTACAAACAAGCAAGAAAATACCAAAAACATATATGCTTTCTCCCCTCACAGTGAAATTGAGAAAGAACAGAAGGTAAAGCGAAGAAAAAGAAATTGAAACAGTGATACTCCCTTCGTCCCAAAATGATTTTCTCACTTATCTTTTTTGGATGTCCCAAAATGATCTTATTACACTTTTTACTTTGTTTTCTAAAAGGACACTTTTACCCTTAATAACCTACATATTTACTACTTTTTACGTTACATTCAGTAAACCTAAGAAGTAGGTAGGAGCATTTAAATTAATTTAGTTTCACTCTTAATATCCGTGTTAATTTCACATGAGAAGATCAATTTAGGATGGATAAAGTAATCAATTTCGCACAGCAATAACATAAGTTTTAGCAGTCAACAACCTGTGCAAGTCCAACCAACCGGGTGTCAATCCCTCTACTGTAGTTCCATAACATATTACCAGTTTTTAGACCAAAATCTTTTTGAAGAGATTCCTGAAGGTAAATAAGAATAAATCCTCAGAAGTTGGCAATAGTAGATATTGAAGTTTTGAACATCATTTATCTTTACAGCATTAGACCTTGGGTATCATCTGCAGCTGCCCACAAGTTGTTACTAGTCTCTTTCTAAGTTTCTCTTCCAAGACATGACCAATTCCTGGGAGGGCTTTTACTGGAAGGTCATGTAGATACTCTTTAACCTGATAAAAGAGGGGGGACACAGCTATTTATACATAATTTTATATATCATCAGAATAGAACAGAAAGATATTCGTTGATTTCATTCAGGTTTTTCCTTCACTTTATCTCTCTCATTCCCATAGGAGATTGGTAGATATATGAGCTATTAAATTTACCTTTTCAGGAGGGATACAACATTGTCCATCTGGTTTAGCAGTTCTTGTAGCAAGACGGGCCAAGAGCATATTTCTAGCAATACCAGCACTTGCAGTGCAGCCTGTTGACTCAACAATCTCCTTCCTGATCAGATGGACAAAAGCTTGAATGTCCTCCACCCCTGAGTCAGTGGCATCTAAAAATGCTTCATCGCAACTGACCGCCTACATTCACTAAAAATAGCCAATTGAAATGATACACACGAATATAATGTA